TCGACTTCAACCAAAAATCAACGATTCTAACTATCTTTCAACGTTGATTTAACATCATGTGCTATCTGGGTGGCTAAACTCAAAAACCGGACTCCCTTTGTGTCTGCTTTATTTGGGCCAAGTAAAGCAGACATAACTTTATTTGGAGGATTCTGAATTAAACAAATGACTTATTCTCACAGTGTTCACAGAACACCACACTGTGGCTGAGCACAGCAGGCACTAATACCAACAACACTTCATGTTTGTCCAGTTCGTTCCTGTCAGAACCAGTTTCATCTAAACTTAAATGATAACGTATTCAACTTAATTAAATTTGAGATGAGATGTGAAAAAGTTCAGAGGAAATTAATTATTTTGCTGTGGATCATTTGTATAAAAGGTTTGGGGAATTAAAGCAGGTTTTATTTTCAACCTTTTATTTTCCCACTAATGAATTCAGAAGCTGCCAGAAATGCTCAGCGTCCGGGTTGTGTTTGTGCAAATGAGTCATTTAAAGGGCTTGAAGGAGACACACACACACACACACACACACACACAGACACACACACAGACACACACACACATAGACACACACACACACACATAGACACACACACACACACATAGACACACACACACAGACATACACACACACACACACACATAGACACACACACACAGACTAGTGTTTCAAAAAGGGCAGTAATGACTTTATTAATATGTGCAGCACAGATAAAGCAGATTGTTTCGATTGTTTTCTGGTGTTTTTCAGAAATTATGCAACTTCTTCTACAGTTAGGGCCAAAAGTATTCATACTTCCAGCAGATTTAGATTCAAGGTGACCTTTAACCTGGAAGTAATACTAACTAAACTTTGATATGTTTTTTCTCAGTTTCTGTTTCACTGTTTCTCTTCTTAATGAAGCCGCTAAAGGAGCTACTCCTGAAATTACCTCTCTAGAAACTGATCCTGGACCAGTTCTTCCATTTCTTTTTTGCGTTTTTCCTCTCCACTGTCACCACATGCATGCTTCATGTGCCAAGCGGACAGTTTGAGGTTGAAATATTTCAGTGCGGTCCTTTGTTTTCCCTCAGCTGCTCCCAGAGGACCCAAGCTGTCCACCAGACCCAGTAAGGCCAAAGTGGGAGACACGGTGCGAATTTCCGTCCAGGGTTTCCAGCTGGGACCGTCTGCTGTGAGTTCCTGACACTAAAACGTCTCTGTGCAGCTTGAGAAAGTAGGAACACAGAACGGCTGTGGCACAACTTCAGTATGGCCAGGATGAATGGTAGGAGATGTCAACATGAATGAAAAAGTTGAAATGAAAAAGACGAGGCTCCTGAACCTCCCTGCTCTCTGATCTAATGACCCAGAAAACGGTTCTGGATCGGTTTGGTGCAAAGCGATAAACGCTGCCCTCTTCACTTTGTAGGTGACAATTATGAAGAAGCAACAGTTTATAGAGCTTCAAAGATCCAGCTTTTATTTTGGTAGTTCACCTCCCGTTAACGGCAAGAGAATTAGCCTATTAGTTAAACATTTAGCTCTGTGCTAGCTAAATAATCAGCTTGCTAACTAAATATTTACCTGGCTAAATAAATATTTACCTGGCTAAATAAATATTTAGCTGGTTAAATAAATATCAGCTTCTTAGCTAAAAATTTAAGTTAGAGCTAAAAACAGTATTTAGCTGATCTAGCTTGCAAAATAAATATTTAGTTTAGACATAAACTTTTATCTCTGGGATAACTTAATATTAGTTCACTAACAATATATTTAGCTTGCTGATAAAATCTTAGCCTTATAGCTAAATATTTCACTGCTAGCTAAATATTTAGCCTGCTAGCTAAATATTAGCTTCCTAGATAAACATTTAACTGGCTAACCAAATACCAGCTTGCTGATTAAGTGTTTAGTTTGAGGCTAAATATTTAGCTTACTAACTAAACATTTAGTTATAGTAAAGAAATGACTAAAGAACAAATCACCATTTTTTCCTCTTATGACAGAAAATGTAACCAAATTACTGCTGTTAATTTTTGGCTGTAACTCGAGTTAATCGTCGACTCGGTGGAAAAATAAAGTAGAAATCGGTTTAGGAAGAATTTCTAGTGTCTTTCAACATGTTTCTTTAACCTTTTGCCACATTGACAATGAAGACCAATTTATTTAGTTAGAAGTTAAAGGGAAAGATTGCACTGTTTGTTACTGAGGGCATCAGAGTAAAGGGGGTTGAACTTGTGACCACAGACCAAGGTGTTCCCGGAGCCTCTGCTCACCTGGACTCGGGTCGGCGGGAACCTGCTGGACGGCAGCGAGAAGCACGATGGGAGGGAGCTGGTTCTGGAGCGGGTCCCCGCCGAGCTGAACGGATCCATGTTCCGCTGCACGGCGCAGAACCCTCTGGGCTCCACCGACACACACACCCGCCTCATCGTGTTCGGTAAGAACCGCTCAGAACCGGCCCAGAACCTGGTCAGAACCGGGCCACAAACGGGTTTTACTTTGTGTTACAGAGAACCCAAGACTGAAGAAAGGAAGAGAACATTTTATCGGTACGTTCAAGAACGAAATGTGATGCTGGCTGTGATTCAATGCACTGACCACCTTCATTTATGGCCTAGTTAAAGTATAAAAACATTTAATTTGAAGCTGAACATTTAGCTTACTAGTTAAATAACACATTGGAGCTTGCCAAATTAATTTTACCTTACTGTATTAAAATTTAGTTTGCTGATTCATATTTACCTTGCAAGCTAAACATTTAAGATAAATATTTAACTTTCTAACTAAATATTAGCTTCCTAATTAAATATTTAGTTTGAAATCAATAAATCTTATTTTCTCCTCTTATGTCAGGCTAAATAACCCAAATTATTGCTGTTAATTTTTCACCCTGTAATTTCACAAACTGGAACGAAATGAGTGGAAAAGCATCAGATGCAACCATTAACATAAAACTAAATCAGATTGACCATTTACAGCATTTAGACTGATTTAAAGGTGAACCACGTTGTTGTGTGCAGCTCTGAACGCAGCGGCCTCTCGGATCTCCCTCGTACTGAACCTCCTGGTTCTGCTGGGCCTCGCCTGTGAGCTGACATGAGCCGAGCGCCGCGGCTGCAGCAGAACTCCAGCTGGGAGCTTCACCTCCGCCAGGGAGACCGGACCCGGAGGCTCAGCGGACTCAGTCGGGTTCGGCAGGGTGTGTGTCCGGGAACGGGCGCCGGTCCGGCACACGGATCTGGGCAGACGGGTTTTCATTCTGGACGACAGCCGGATCTCAACTTTGGTCATTTTTTCCAGGATAACTGGATGTGGTTGCCAGATCTGACTGACAGTTTCCAGCCCAAACAGAACCTAAAATCCGGTCAACTTCAAAAAAACAGGCCCAAATCTAAACTTCTGTTGAAATGCATGTTAACATTACCACACATCTCTCTCTCATATAAAGGCTTGTCGGGGGGGGAAAAAATGAGTAAATTTCCACCAAAAAATCTCAGATTTCCTAATTTTTCTAGAAAATTTCTAAGATTAATCTAAAATTTTTCAGTTTCAAAAGTTTTACCTTGACCTATTAGCTAAAGATTTAGCTCCAAGCTAAATAAATATTGGCTTGCTCAGTAAATATTTAGCCTGCTAACAAAGACATTAGCTCGCTAATTATCTAGTTTGGAGCTAAATATTTATCCTGCTAACTAAACACTTAGTTGGCCAACTAGATATTTCACTTCAAACTACATGTTGGCTTGCTAATTAAATATTTAGTGTGGAGCCAAGTCATAGTTTTAAAGGCCAAAAATATTCAACTTCTGGAAATTTGAAACTTTTGGAGTTTTGACTTTCAAACTCAGAAATGTCCAAGTTTTTGGGCAGAAATTTACTCTTTGTTAATGCATCAGTAGCAGTCGACAGTTTCCAGCTGAAACAGAACTGGACTTTTTGAACAAAACTTGAGTTTTTTGTGGAGCCAAACCTTTTAAATCATGATGTTACGCTGGGATTTCTATTTTAAAATACTACATACTGACATTTATTAACCAATGATTATCATTGATGATGTCACGCTTGACAGATTCTAGAGATTTCAAATTAAATAAGACAAGTGAAAAATCACAGTATTTTAATAAAGGTTTTGTGCTTTTTTTCTAAAAATCCACCAAACTGAAAAGCAGCACAAATTTTAACATCCCACCCAGTCTGGCAACACTGAGCCAATTTTTCCATTTGCACAGTAAAAAAATGTGCTTCACTTGTTTAAATGACACAAAATGTTTTATTGCAAAAATATTAAAGGGTGAATTTAAACCGATACGTGTCTGCCCACAAATAATCATCATTCTGGACCAATAACAACATTTGAGCCACAATGTGAAACAAACTGAGTGGAGGAACCCCGAGCCTGCAGAAAACCCTCCGACCGCCTCCCTGACCTGGAGCAGCGGATCGGATAAGCAAGAGCCGAGAAACACAGCGAGCCGCGCCGCTCCCTGACCTGGAGCCGCGCCGCTCCCTGACCTGGAGCCGCGCCGCTCCCTGACCTGGAGCCGCGCCGCT